CTTTCTTTCGCTTTGGAGAATAGCTTGACTCCCTCTTCTTTGGGGCAGCCCCTCAAATACTGGAAGATGCTCTCCTGTCTCCCCTGGTCCTTCATTGCATTCCACTGGACATGTCTTCTGTCCATCCATGGTTTGCTCGGATTTCTTTCTTTCTTTCTTTCTTTCTTTCTTTCTTTCTTTCTTTCTTTCTTTCTTTCTTTCTTTCTTTCACTTTAGAAAATAGCTTGACCCCTCCCTCCTCTCTGTGGCAGCCCCTCAAATATTGGAAGGCTGCCCTCCTGTCTCCCCTGGTCCTTCATTGCATTCCACCGGACGTGCCCAATTCCTGCCACCGTTTCCTATGTTCGTAGCCTCCAATCCCCTAATGGTCTCTGCGGCTCTTTCTCTGCACTTGCTGGTTGGGGAATTCTGGGGGAGGGGGGGGTCAAAGTCTTCAAGGGGGGGGGCAAGGTGGAGAAAACCCCCAGTCCCAAGTGTTAAAACCTCCCTCCCTCCCTCCTGCCAGCTGGGCCTTTGCGTCTTCCATCAAACGGCTTTTTCCGAGGCCCCTTTGAGAACCAGGCAGGGCCTCTCCGTTTATTCTTCCTGACCTAGTCACAGAGTGTGTGTGTGTGTGTGTGTGTGTGTGTGTGTGTGTGTGTGTGTGTTATTTTTATTTTCTGCCCTCTCAGCAAGTTCCTCGGAATGCTTGCAAGGCATTCAAAAGCAACGCTCGTCCTACCCAGCCCGGACCCAGATCAGGAGATGCGGGTGAAGTATAGAATTTCTATGGCGTGGAAGAAATTGAAATAGGTAAGATAGATCCGCAATGATGGCTTGTATGGAAGTGGAAACCCCTGGAATCTCACTGTTCGCTAACAGAGACATTTGTAAAAGATAAACATTAAAAAAAATAAAATTTGGGGGGGAAAAAGAGAATTTCTACGGCCTGGGAACCAGTTGCTTTGCATGGACTGATCGATTGCATTTTAAGCCCCAGCTACAAGGATTCTCCCCCTTCGCTGCTCTTCAGGGAATGTCCATTCTCGCTCGAGAAGCCTCTCCGGCAGGGGAGCAGATTCCAAAAATCGGACTCCCGGTCCTGTGGGTGTGGCTTGGTGGGCGTGGCCATGTGACTGGGTGGAAGTAGATGACCCCCAGAAGGGTCATCTAAATCAGGGGTCTCCAACCTTGGCCACTTTAAGACTTGGGGACTTCAACTCCCAGAGTTCCTCAGCCAGCTTTGCTGGGAGCCATTGTTCAGTTTTGCTGGCTGAGGAACTCTGGGAGTTGAAGTCCCCAAGTCTTAAAGTGGCCAAGGTTGGAGACCCCTGACTTAGATGACCCTTCTGGTCTCTTCCAACTCTATCATTCATGGCTGGCTGAGGAACTCTGGGAGTTGAAGTCCCCAAGTCTTAAAGTTGCCAAGGTTGGAGACCCCTGCCTTAAGGGGTGAGTGTCAGGTGGGCGGGGCAAGCGAGCCAGCAGCCACCGGTCAACTGGGTCAGGGGCGTGTGCCAGCCAGAACCTACTACTGGTTCAGTGACCCACCCGAAATCCTTGCTACCGGTTCGTCTGAACCAGTGCAAACCAGCTGAATAGCACCACTGCTCTCTGTTTTTCTACAGGCAGTCCTCGACTTACAGCAGTTCATTTAGTGACCCTTCTAAGTTACAATGGTACTGGGAGGGGGAAAGGGACTTCTTATAACCCTTTTCACAGTTACGACCATTGCAGCTTCCCCCTAGTCTGGCGCTTGGACTCGTATTTACGACCATTGCTCTTTCCTGGGGTTGTGTGATCCCCCTTTTGCGACCTTCCAGCTAGCCAAACCCATGGGGAGGCCAGATTCACTTAACAAGCATGTGACTCCCTTAATGACAGCAGTGATTCATTGAACAGCCGTGGCAAGGGAGATTGTAGAATGCGGCAAAAGTCACTTAACACATGTCTCCCTTAACAACAGAAAGGATGGGCCCAATTATGGTCGTAAGGACTAGCTGTACATCTGAGGAAACAGGGTTGAACTAGATGACCTACATCAGTGATGGCTAACCTACGACACGCGTGTCCCTCGTGACACGCCGAGGCACTTTGACTGACATGCCTGTTGGTGTGGGGAAAACCTGCACGTTTAGAGGCTGCCCGTGCTCGGCTCCAATCCCTGCTCCCTGCTTGTTGCATGGAGGCGTGGTGTCGCCGCTGCCACGAGATCTTTGCAGCAGAGAACCAGTTTTAACCGCCATAAACTGAGGTTTGTCCGTTCCATTACCTCAGGAACGCTACAGGAGGAAAGGAGATCCACGAGGTTCACAGCCCTGTAAGGTGGCCTTCCGATCCCCACATCCTCCACCTGCAGCCCTGAGACCAGGGAGGCGGGTTTCCCAGCCCTGCGTGATCCCCCCAGCCCAGTCCCTGTCATAAACATCGCAAGGAGGACTGCACCGCAACAACCAGGCACAGCGCTCACGATAAGCAGCGTCGGGGGGGCTGTCCTGTAAGTGCAATTAATCCTAAAATCTGCATTTCTGTCTTGGGGGCTCTCCCACTGTAAAACGCTTGGAGGTCTAGTCTGCAGCGTTCAGCCCCTCTCCGGCTCCTCTCGGCTTTAATTGCCTCCGTAGCACCTCTTGCAGTTCTTCTTGCTTCTCACCATCCTCACAGAGCACCAGGCAAACCCTCCTCCCCCCCAAAAAAAACCCCCCCAAAACACAAACCAAAAAAAAAAAAGCCCCCTTATTTTGGACACCGTATTGACTTTAATTTCTCTCTCCTGGCAGGGTTCTTCTTCTGAGGCTGAAGGTTTAGCAAATGCAATTCAGCAACAGAAAAGTCACTAAGGTAAATCATTATTGGTTTTTTTGCTTTTTGAACTAATAAATATAATAAGTATATTAAAAATGTAACTCTTTCTTTATTGGGGCTGCAAATATCACCAAATTATTGATATTTCTTGAAGGGACGCACGACCCGAGGAAGGCTACACCTTTTCCCGATTTTCGACACACCAAGCTGAAAAGGTTACCCCTCACTGACCTGCAGGGTCCCTTCCAACTCAGTTAACCCAACCTAATCTAATCTTCCCTGCCTCCCTCCTGAAGGATTGTCCCTCTCCCCCACCTAGGGAGGGATTCTCCCCCCACTCCTGCTACCACGCCCAACAGGCAGTCCTCAACTTGCGAACCACGATTTCCATCACTAAGCGAAACATTTGTCCCGTGGGTTTAGCTCCTGTTTTGCGACCTCTCTCGTCATGGTTCTTAAGCGTCGATAAGTCCGTCACGCATCTCTGAAAGCGAATCTGGCTTCCTCCCATTTGACTTGGCCTTGCAGGAAGGTTGCCAAAGAGGATGGTATAACGGAATAACTGAGTTGGAAGGGGACCTGGGAGGTCTTCTAGTCCAACCCCACCCCCACTGCACAAGCCTGACTCCTCCCCTCCGGGACAACTGCAACGGTCAATAAGTCTAACGGGGAGTTGGGGGACTTCCCACCCATCCTCCTCAACCCTCCGGAATGATGCCATAAACCAGGGGTCTCCAATCTGGCCCACTTGAAGACTTGTGAACTTCAACTCCCAGCGTTTTGCTGGCGGAGGAATTCTGGGAGTTGAAGTCCACAAGTCTTCGAATGACCCAGACTGGAGACCCCTGCCATAAACCAGGACCAACTATTTCAGGCAGGCTGGCTGATGGTTGGACCATACTTGGGGAGGGTCTGCTGAACTGAGGGGATTTGGAACCATCCCGACAGCGAAGAAGGCGAGTCTGGGGTCTGACTTTCTCTCTAGTAAAGGGAAATCTTTGTAGCTCAGGGTTGAAATGAGGGAAGGGTCTTCTCTGGGGCTCTCTGAGCTTGGCAGGTTTCTTTGCAGACGTTTCATGACCCAGCTAGGTAACATCATCTGTGTTAGAAGGGAGGAGGGGGATTTGCATTTTCTAACGCTGATGATGTTACCTAGCTGGGTCATGAAACGTCTGCAAGAGGAAAAAGAAAAACCCAACCTCAGAGAGCACCAAGGACTGACTGACTCTCCCTCCCTCTCTCCCTCTTTCTTTTGTTCTCTCTCCCTCCCTCTTTCTCTCTCTCTCCCTCTTTCTTTCGC